CACAAAACAAAAAAGAAGTAAAAATAACAATAAAAGTTAAATAGTAAGTCATTCTAATAAATTATAGATATTTAAATATTATTTTATCATTTATATTTATTTATCATTTTCATTCCTCTATTGTTCTCTTTCTCTTTCTTTCATTCTGTGTTTATTAATTATTGTTATTTAGTTCATATTATTTTTTAAATAAAAACTTCACCAAATAAAAAATTTTAAAAGTAAATATTAATTAACAACTAACTATTTTTTTCCAGTGTTTTATATCATGATGTTGTTCTACATTTTCTTCATTTTCTTTTCTTTTAGTGTTGAAGCAACTAAAAAGAATGGTATACCTAAAGAATCAAAAGAATTAGGTATTAAAAAATTTAAATTTATTTCATTAGTGAATAGCACTGAATTTAGACAACTTTTTAATGATGATCAGCAATATGTTGTTGCATTATTTTGTCATCTTACCATTCAAGAGTGTATTCCTATTATCAAAACACTTAATAAAGTTGGTGAGAAATATAGACAAATTAAATTTGTTGTTGTGGATAGGGATAGTATATATGATTTAGTATTTGATTATTCTATTGAAGAATTTCCAACTATTCTTTTTCATAGAGCTCATTTAAGAGATAGAACATTTGATGAAGATGAATTTGATAGTTTAGAAGAATTTATTCAAAGAGGAATTCAACCTGTTGTTCATATAATAAATGAAGAAGATCTTCCTTTGTTAGAACGTCAAAAGAAGATTACATATTTAGTTTTGTTCACTTCTAACTCAACACCAAAACACTTAATAAATGAGTATAATGATATAGCTGATGTATTTCAACAATATTCTGAATTAGGATTTTTCTTAGTTGATAAAACTAGTAGTAGTTTATTAAAAAATAAAACAGAGCAACTTATTTATTATAATAATAAAGCATATGACAATACCTCAGAAATTATAGAATATCCTTATCTTGATTCTAATAAAACAAAAGTAATTAATAATGAATTTGGACTTATTGAATGGGTTTCTGCTATGGGAATTCCTTTATTTTATGATGGTTCAAAACAACTTATTGAATTATTATTTGAAATTCCAAAGAAATACCCAATTGTATGGTATTTTGATAAGAATATTACTGAACAAATAAAGTCATATTATGTTTCTTTATCTAGAGAATATAGAGGAGAATTAGTTTTTATTCATACAGATGATAAAGAAACAATGGAATTTTATCATCAAAATCATACAAAAACTATTACTATTCTTCATAAAAATGGTAGAACATCATATCCTCTTAACCAAACTCAATTTGATATTCTTGAATTAACATTACAACAATTTCTTGCAAATGAGTTACAACCTGACATTAAGAGTTCCAACCATTCTAAACAAGGAGAAATTCCTTTTCTAACAGGAGAAGAATGGAATAAAGGGTTAGACCCAACAAAAGATTATTTTATAATTTTAATTGATAATTCTATCTTATCAAAGAACTTTGTAAATAGAGAATTTACAGTTGTATATAAAAGAATTGCTCCTATTCTAGAAAAAAGTACTTTGGAAATGTATTTATTTAATATTGAAACTGATGATGCTCCGGTTGATATTGTATTTGATGACATACCTACATATTTATTCTATAAAATGAATGATAATACTCAACAAAATCCAACAGAACAAGAATTTAAACAATTTCCTGATCAAAACTCTCTTATTAAATATATACAATATCATAGTTCAGTAGCATTTCAGCCATTACCTCCAATAGACAAAAGTAAATGGCAACAATATATTGAAGATGATGAAGAAGAAAAAGTTAGAAGGTTAAAAGCAGAAGAATTAAAAAGTCAAAGATTGGACAATATTAAAGAAGCAAAAAACCTTCAATTAAAAGAGTTAAAAGAAAATCCATTTAAAAATGAAGAATTTGTTATTGCATTAAATCAATTGAGGAAGTATACAGAAGACCCAGAAATAGCAAAGTTTTTCCAGACAACAGATTGGAGTGGTTTATTTGGAATTGATATAGACTCATTAGAAGGATTAGTTTCACTTACTAAAAACGAAGATGCACTCCGATTATTATTGTCTAAAGAAAAGAAAATAAAATCTAAAACCCATAAAAAGGACCAAATCAAAAAAGAACTTTAATTATATTGTTTTTGATAATTGAAATTACTTGTTATGACAAACAACTTTCAATGACTATTGTTTTAAATAAATAGAATTATATTTTTCTTTAGAATTAATGAATTTATAATTAATTTCTTTGTTAATTTAATGGTTATAATACTTTTTAAATACACATCTAAATAGATAATAACTCTTTATTATATATAATAATAAACAATTTAAGAATAAGACTCTTTAAGTTAATGTGACTTTGATACTCTTATTTTTTTATTAATATGAAAAAATTAATTATAAAAATTGTTTTTTTATCTATATGATGTAAATATATTTATTTAATTTGTTGGTTTGTTGTAAAAGAAGAAATATCATTATTATATTCTATATTCTTACATGAAATTTATTCTTTAAAAAATTATATCAGTTAAATACCTTTTTATTAAAATAAAATGCTTTTTAGAAGATATAATCTCATTTATTCTAAATAAACATTTATAACACAATAAATATAAATGAAGAATAATATTAATTTATAGACTATTAGACTTGTTGTAATTCAAATCTATTTTTCAAGAGTTAAAAAAGAACAAAACCAATAGATATTAAAACAAAAATACTTAAAATAAATAGATTTTGTATTAATCATCCCAAACTATAACATTCCTTCCATAACCACTTATTATTTGTGAAGATAATGGATTCCAACAGGAACAATAACAACTTTGATATGATCCTCCTTGTTGTACATTAACTTCAGGATAAACACAACATGCAAATTTACTTGTAGTTAAATTCCATACATAAACAGCACCATCAACAGAACCTACTGTCATGTAAGATTTGTCTGCTGAAACACCTATTCTACTTCCAGGATTAATATAATCATCATTAAAATATTTTTGAACTACTCTCATCATAAAAGGATCTACCATCCATATTGTATTGTCTTTACCATTGGTTAATAGATATTCAGCAGCACCATCAACAAATACAACATCACTGCATGCAATACCATCAAATACATTAACTACTCCTACAGGATCTTTTTGTCTATTATCCCAGAATCTAATTGATCCATCTATATGGCTTGTTACTGCTTGATTTCTCATTAACGTTAATCCACTAACAGCACTTCCAGTTGGACAACTTAATTTACACCTACTATGTGACATATCCCACCATCTTAATGTTCTATCAGTTGATCCAGTAACAATAGTTTCTGCATCAACAAATTTTCCACCAGTAATTCTATTTGAATGTCCAGTTAATGTATATCTAGCGGAATATCTATTAAGATCAAATATTCTGACTGCTGCATCATTGGATGTTACTAATAATAAATCATTTATTTCACTAAAATCTATTGAAGTTACTGATTGAGACATTCCTCTTAAGAAAGTTTTACAAACAGAAGTAGTTGAGTCCCAAATTCTTACTGTTCTATCTTCACTTCCAGTAGCATATATTTGTCCTGACCCATTGAATGCAATAGCAGTAATGTCTCCGGTATGACCATTTATATTTCTAACAGCAATAGAAGGGACATGACAAACCAAATTTGCAATACTAGTTTTTGTTTCAGAAGCTCCAGTAGATTTTTTTGAATGTTCTTTATTATTAAGTACATCAGAAGAAATACCTTTTTGTAATATTTTAGGTTTTGATTGAGTTGATGATTTATTATTTGATGGAGTTATATTAACTTCATTATGAACAGGAGATGGATGTTTTTCAGGTTCTTCAAGAGTTGAATGTGCAGGTAAAGGGGATACTTGAATATAATTTGAATTAGAATTTCTTTCTAATTGTTTTCTAAGGTCTTCTATTATATCAAGTAACCTATGATTTTCATAATTAACTTGTTTAAACTTTTCATTCATTTCACCTAACTGAGTTCTTGAAAATCCTAATTCATTTTTTAAGTAATCAATTTGTTTTTCTAATTGTTGAGTTTTATTATCTTCTTCTTTTGATTTTTCAATATATAAATCTAATTGTTCTTTACTCTCTTTTGCAAATTTTTCTGCTTGTGTTGTAGCATTTTCTAACTGAGCGATTTTATTTACTGCATCAAATAGTCTTGAAGTTTGTGCATTAATAAATACAGTAGAGTTATGTAAGTCTAAAGTTAACTTTTTAATTTCTTCTTCATACTCTTCTTTAGAAGTTGTACTTATTGTAATAGAAGTGATATTTTTCCAAGGAATTATTTGAATAGCGTCTCTACGTTCTAGTTTTAAATTAATTTGTTTAGTAAATTCCATAATAAGAAAGAACAAGAATTTAAGAGATTATAATATTTTAAGTTTTTTCTTGTAGTATTTGAATTATTTTTATTCTTTTTCAATTAAAAGAACTTTTTTCTTATAAAAACAAAAAAGAAGGGTGAGTGGTTCTTTTAATATTCCTTTTTCATTTTATAATCCAATTTAATCAAAACAAAAAGAGTGAATTATTCCATTAATGGTTCTGTATTTTTATCTTTTTTTGCTGGTGGGAAAGCAGGGAATGTAAAGAGTTGGAAGAATAACACTACAATGAAAAGAAGAAGGAATAGTGTAGCAAGAGTAATTAAAACTATCATCATAACATAATTCACATTAATTGGATAGATCATTTCATCATAACATGCAACTTTTCTATCTGTTGAAGTAAATGAACAACTATTAGCATTATATGATTTCCATCCACAACATGCAAATTTTAAATTAATTTCACGTCGAATACCTTTTGTAGTTGAGTCATAAAGATTTTCCATACATTTTGGAGTATGAAGCATATTTTGATAAGCAGTACTTAATGTCCATAATTCAATTAAAGCAACAAAAATACAAGCACATAACAACTATTTATCATTATTTTATTTCTTATAATTAACTTAATAATTGTTAAAACAAACAATAATTAATACTGGTTTATTATATTTTGCTACTGCATGAATAAATGCAGATATTGACAATAAAAATAATGCACTTCCAGCGTATAAATAAATCGAGAATGAGTATGAAGGTAAAATACTAAATAATTCAAATAATTTATCAAGATATAATCCCATTCCAACTCCAATAACAATAATTGTTATACCAAATGCCATAAGCAATGTAGAACACATTAACACTATTTTATTTGTTGTTTGAATTCTTAAAAATGCCATTATGTGTTTGATTAATTAACAGTTTTTTTAGTTCTTTTTCTTCTTCTTTTTTTCAAGTTCGTTTTTTAATTTTTTCTAATGTTAATATAAAAATGATTTAAAAATTATTCTGTTATTTCATAGGTGTTCTAGTTAGTTGTTATATTTTAATAGTTACGAGAAAATTATTCCAAGTGTTTGTATTCAAATCCAGCTTATATTATTTTCTTTCATTCCAAAAAATATCACCTGAACTAAATAAACTTTTCTTTAAAGAGGAAAACTACTAAAAAGATATAAATATCATTGATTTTTTTTTATTTTTGAATCAGAAAATAAGCTGTATTGATAATAATACCAATTTGATAACAATTAGTGTCTCATTATTAAAAGTTAATTGATTTCAATTGGTTTTTGAATAGTAAAATAAAATTTATGTTTTAAAAGAATAATAACTGAGACTAAAAAAGTATGTCTCTTTAGAAAATATCTTAGTTCGTTATATTTTATTATAAAAATACTTATCATGATTAACCAATGTTACTATTAATTTTTATTAAACAATGTTGAAAATTAAAAAAAGTATTGTTTAACATTTTAGTAATCAAGAATAATTGAAAAAAATAGATTTGTCTCATTGATTCGTATTATTTTAGATTCACAGAAAGAAATATGAGTTAAAAGAATAACTATTACTTTTAAGAAAAATAACTAATTTTAATGAAAAAGTTATTTTTAAATAAAAGAATAACTGTTGGTATATATATTCTTTTTTTGTATTTTTAAATACAATTAAAACAAGTGATTTAATTAACAAACATAGTCAACATTTCTCATCTTATTTTTAATTAAATTTAAAAATATATAACTTTTTTGTTTAGAAATATCAGAAAGTAGTTATTACAACCAGCACTAAATCAATAAAATAACATATTTTGAAACGAAAACAGTTCTTTAATAACTTTTTGTATTAATCTAAATATCCAATAGTCTCTTGTCTTTTATATAAGACATTTATTATATAATATTGAAATTGAACACATATTGAAAGTATATATGTTTAAATGGTTCATAGCATAAACTATTCATAACCATTTTCTATTACGTTGTAATAGTTTATAATACTTTATCCAAATAAAAAAAGTACCAGAAAAACAAATAAAAGTAATGGTAATAAAGAATAAAATTATATTTACATCACAGCTGAAATAATTTTTTATGTCAATACTCTTTACAAATTAATTTTTCATTTTTAGAACCAATAATTGAGAATAAAGAATCTACTTAAAAATAGATTCTATTAAAACAAAATGAAGAAAGAAAAGAAAAAGAATAGTATTGTTATATGAATAACAAAAATAAAAATTGTTACTAAAAATTCCAAAAAAAAAGAAATTACTGAAGAGAAAAAGATGAATGAGCCAAAAATAATTACCATCATTAACTCATAGATGAATGAGATTTATGTCCTATCAAATTTATTTTTCATGATAAATACTGAAAATAAGATGTGATTCTTTTGTTTTAATCAAAAAACAAGAAATAGAAACAAATAAAAAGATGATAAGAAAAGATGATAAGAAAAGATGAAAAAAAGATAAAAAATGAGAAAATATATGTAGAAGATAATTAATAGAAAAGGAAGAAAATAAAGTAGGAAAGAAAAAGAAAAAGAAAAATCGCAAAAATTTTCTCAGTTTTCGGTGTTTCATAATTAAATCAGATTGATTTTAATAAGAAAAAACTTGAGTTTAAAGTATTTTACAATTGCCATGAGTAACCATGATGTACAATTTACTTGTTATTGTTCAATTTGTAAAAAACAACAGTATTTTCTCGTTCCTAACCCAAAAATTAAAACTACTCGATTATGTGTTCTTATACTCTCTTCACTTAGATGTCTTAAACCACTAAATGAATATTTTCAATTAAAAACAGATATTTATGATTTTATTACAGATCATTGGCATTTATTAGGAAGATTAAAACTCTGTTTGTTCTTTCATAATTATTGCTTTGGGCTCTACGCAAATTCATTTGGTAGTTCAACAACAAAATTGGAAGAAAGCAATTCTTGATGCATTCAACCATTGCCCCCAAATAGAGAGTGGAAAAGAAAAATCAATTGGAAGAGGTTTTTATAAATTAAAGAATAAATATGATAATAATGCTTCTGAAAAGGTTGAACTAAAAACAGAATTATATCAACAATACGAAGAATTACAAAATATTTTAAACACAAATATGAAGAAGTTATGTTTATTATATAGAAAAGGATTTAAATCAGAGTTATTTACAAATAATAATATTTGTTCACTTGTTGATGCTCAAATTACACAAATTCGTCATATTGGTAAAATGAAATTATCTATTTGTAATTTAGATTAATTATTTTGACATATGTATTTATCTTCTTCTAACATTTTGGATTATTGTAAGTGATGTATTTATTTTATTATAATTTATAGTTATTTTTATTATATTTTATTATTTCTTTTCTTTTTGATGGGAACTTTATAAATAAAATATACCAAATAGCATTTTTAAGAAAAACACGATAAAACTAATTTGAAGATCTATTTAAAAATAATGGAAGAAGAATCATCAATAAATTGTAAAAGAAAAGACCGTTTTCGTGAAAGTCAAGTAATTCCTACAAGAAGGAGGGAGTTTATTATTAATGGAAATAAAATTATTTATGCTAGTCTTGATGCATTAATTGGATTTGTTTGTGAACCATGTTCTGATATTGCTACAAGAGAAGCATTTATTTATACTTTTCGATGTTATGCAGATCAAAATTTGGTTTTAAATCGTTTTTTAGAATTATATCAAAAACACAATGATCAAAGAAATGTTATTATTAATAATATGATTCAATTTATGAGTAAAGTAATGACTACTTCAGATAAAGAAACTATTTCTTTAGTTAAAAATATTATACAATTACATCGTTCAATTGATTCTAATGCAGCTAATTATTTAGAATTATTACTTACAAAAACTCAAACAAAAATCATTTTACCACCTACTACTGCTGATGTAACATTAACTCAAATGATATTTACTGATAACCTTTTTAAAACAAATTTTGTTTCTCATCCTTTAATGTCGACTGATTCAATACATATTGATAATGGAGTTTCTATTCCTTCTTATTTCATTAATTCTAGTCCTAATTCTCCATATCTCAAATCATCTCCTAAAAAAACTTCTTTCTTGATAGGTAAAAAAACATCTAAACTCAATGAATCTTCTATTCTAAATACAGAGCCATATACCAAAGTTAATGAGGTAATAGAAAATAATAAACAAAATGAAGATATTAATGTTCAACAAATTCAAAGTAAAGTAACAACTACTGAAGAAGACCAACAGGTATTGAAAGAAATTGAGTTTAATTTCCTTAATATACCTGCTATAGTATTTGCTAAACAAGTTACATTGATTGAATATGACCTTTTTATGAAAATTCATATCAGTGAGTTATATTCATGGAATAATTCTAATAGAGAGAATACAGCTTCTAATATAATCAAATTTTTACAACATCGTAATAAGATGGAACATTGGTATGTTCAACTTATTCTTTTAGCTCCCCCAAATCAAAGACTTGGAATATTAAAAAGGATTATTGAAGTAGGAATTAGAATGAATGACCTTAATAATTGGAATGGATTAGTTGAAGTTGCTACTGCATTAGATTCATTCCCTATTTATAGATTAGAACATCTCTTTTTGCAACTTAATGAAAATGATAAAGAAAATTTTAGGCAAATTAAATCATATGGAAGTATTGATTCATTATTAATGAATGACTCGAATATGATACCTGGTGCATGTATTCCTTATGTTAATACATATCTTAGAAAAATAGTTGAAATTAATAAAAATGCACAACCATCTATTCAATCTGGAGGATTTGTATTAATCAATGTAGAAAAATGTAGACAACTTGCACATTATATAGTTGATTGGGTACAATGTCAAAAATATCCTTATTTATTTGGACATAACCAAGCAATGCAAGAATGGATTGAATCTCATTTGGTTAAAATTAATTGTAATGAGGAGAATGAGTATCAACTGAGTATTCAAATAGAAAAAGAACATCGTAAAACAATGGTTTTTAATAATGAAATTCATTTATTAAAATATAATACAAATTGTGTTTATACTCATCCACAAATTATACCATGTAATACTAATATGTTAGTAGGTGATTTTCTTAAGTTTAATTATGCAGATGGAATTTTTATGCTCTCTCCTAATCCAAAACAACCTAATGGGCAAATTATTAACATCTCAGAAACAATAGGAAAAGTCTTTCAAACAACAAAAGATTTAAGAAATGAAGACACTATTTTTTCCCTTGTTAAAGATATAACTCAAGTAAAAGTATGGTGTTTTGAATACCATAACCATAAAGATACTATTCATTATAGTACTCTATGTCTTGATGCTACACAGCCAGTTATTCAAAATATTATTATCATTAAACAATTTTATGGAATAGAAGATATTCAAGAGGATGAATTTTATGAAGAGAAATATGCTATTTTGTATCGAAATTCAAATAAAGATAGATTTAATTTTCTTTCACCATTTGCTAAGAATTTAATGAAAACTGGTGGAGAATTAGTATTAATACCAAGTAGGTTCATGCAACCATCATTAAGCCAATTGGAAGTAAGCATTAAATCACAAGTGGTGTATATGAATGAAGTAGAATGTTTCAGTTCATTTGTTAACGTTCAACTAAGGAGTTATAAAATGATAATATGTGAAGGATTTTTATTCTTTTATTCTTCAAAAGAGACATTTGTTGTTGCACTAGGATATTACAAAATTAAACTTTATTATGATTCAATAAAAGACAAAGCAATGATTTTGTTAGTAGAGTCAACTGACTCAAAAGAAAATCCCATGATTGTTATGGTGCCTGAATGTCAAAATCTTTTATCTGGTTGTATTAAATTATCAAATCAAATTGCACCATTTTGTACTGCTTCAATTAAAACACATTGTTTTGGAGTTGATTCAGATAAATTAATATCAAATCCAATTCCACAACCATATGAAGTGCTAATGAATTCAGTATTTACCTCTGATAATTTAACACTTAATAAGGATTTCTTTGATTTAAATGTTCAACCTAAACGATGGACAGAGGCAATGTATTATCTTGAAGAAGGAATTACCTCTTCTGAACCAGTTGTTAATTCACAACTATTATTGCTTTTATTAAAACTTCATCCCACTCCATTTATTCCTATAACATTTCATTCTCAAATTAAAGAAAAATATAAAAAATTTTATGAAATAGAAATGAGTGGTAATGAAAATGATATTATAGAAGCAAAAAAAGATAAAGAAGCATATATGAAAAGAGTATTATCAACTATGAGTTATAATAAACAAGTTATTATTATTGGTATGTGTAAAATATTTGATATTTGGGCTGATGGTAAAGTTAGTCGATTAGAAAGTATTAAGAATATTGTTGACAATGCACTAATTAAAGACCATATTGAAGGTGTTGAGATTATTCATGACATAGCTCACTTAAACACTACTATTAATAAAATAGATAATATCCATACTGAATACCAATGGCAAGTGTCTATATTTAACAATGCACAAAGAAAAATTCTTGATGAATTGCTTGGATTTTTACAACATTCTATGATAACTAATTCAATATCATTAATGAAAGTAAACAAAACTGATAAATTTGAATTATTACATTCTAATATCCTTATGCTAAAAGATGATAAGTTTTGGAAAGAGAGTATTGCAAATATTATTTTAAAGGGTGGTTTTGATAACCAACCAATAGATGAAGTTAGTAAAGAAATGACTGTAGAGCTAAGTGTTGTTGAAGACTATAATGCTTTTAAAGCCTTTGCTTTAAATCTTGAATGTAGAAATAACGCCAAATCAAACTACATTAATCTGACTCAAAAACATTTGAAGAATAAATCAATTCTTTTAAAAGAAACAAGAGATAGATGCACAACGTCTTCTGACCAACCTAGTTTTTTGAGGTTGTTGTTAAATAGAAGAAACCAAGTGATGGTCTTTCCATAAGAAATTATAATTTATTTATCTATTCTTATTAACTATTATTTTATTAATTTTTACTTTAAAAAAAAAGAATTTGAAAAGAAAATAATTAACATAATCATATTAAATTCATGCAATTTAGTATAGATGACTTCGACCCTGTTAAAAGAAAAAAAAAAGTAACTAAACCTCCTCTTAAAAAAAAGAAAACAGACACACTTAGTAAATCAGAAATATCTCCAATTAGTGTAGGTGGTATTGGAGAAGAAATGCTTAAAGTTTTAGGATGGAGTGAAGGAAAAGGAGCAGGAAAATTTGAACAAGGAATTGAACAACCAATTGAAATTAATCAAAGTAATGAAAGGTGTGGAATTAATGAACATCTTATTAATCCACAAACAAATGTTGAGATGAAATTAAAACATTATGGAAAAGATGCAACAAATGAAAAAATAGAAGAAATGATAATGTTAGAAGAAAGAATGAAAGACATTGAAATTAAAATAAATGAAAAAAAACAAAATATTCAAGATGACATACAAAGAAGTAAACAAAAAATAAGTAAATTAGCAAGTCAAGCTGCAATTAATGAAGAAGAAATTGAAAGAAAAAATAAAGAAATAAATTTATATGAAAAAGGAAAAATAATATTTCAAGAAATAAGAGAAGGGATGGAGGGAATAATTGACCAAGAAGAATGTATTAGATTTGTAGAAAGAATTTATAAATGGAAAGTTTTAAGTCATTTTGAAAGAAAAGATGTTATTGAATTTTCAATTCAAAAAGTTATTGAAAGAGCATTAGAAGAAATGCAATTAAATGTTATTGTTTGGAAAAAGAGTAATAAAACAAGTGTTAATCCATATTTTGAATTATTTTCACGGTTATTAATGATAAAAGATTATTTAATTAAAGAAATAATTCAAAAACAATGTGATACTATTTTTATTCAATTCTTAAAAGAAATGAGTAATGAAAAAAGTGTTAAATGGTGTATTGATTATTATAATTTAAATAAAGAATTGATGAGCGAAGAAGGAATAAATAAAATAAAATTAATATTTAATGAAATAATTAAAAGAGAAATTACTTTTGAAGAAATTATTCAAATTGAAGTTATTTTAGATACTCCAAACGAAGTACTTGAAAAGAAATTCTTTAAAAATATTATTCAATTTATTGAAATGAATCAAATACCTATTATTAAAGAAGTTTATAAAACTCAATCATCTAAAATTCAAATATTAATATTAAATTCTATTAAATCGTATATTTATCAATTAATTCAAAACAATCAAATTATTCAAAGTTTAAAAGTTTTAAATTATTTTATTAATATGTTTTCATTAGAAATTCAACAAAATATTATTATTGATTGTTTAAAAAAATCATCTTTTATAATAAATTCAAAACCATATTCATTGGATGAATTATATATATTTTATATTCAATTAAGATCTCTTATTCCAAACGAATTACTTTGTCCTTCAATAGAAAATGAATTACGTTCATTATTATCATTAATTGAATTATTACTTTAATTTTTATTGAAAGTATAATTAAAAATACAAAAAAAAACAGAAGTAATTTATTCAAAAATCAATTTAGAATATGAGGAATAAAATGTAGACAACAAAAAGTGTTAAGAAAGAATAAGCACTATTGTCATAATATTTTGAAGATTTACTACTATCATCACTTATACATTTGTCAACTTCAACAATAATAACTTTAGAATTATCAATTTTATCTTCACATTTATCATTTTTATATTCATAAGTAACAAGTTGACCATCTTCAACTGAATACTTTTTAAATCCATCTTGATTCATACAAATATCAAAATTAATATAACTCTTCTCAAATGTATCTTTTCTTTTGCACTCTGTACCACTTAAATCATATTTAACTTCTAAATTATAACTTGGTTCATCAAATTCATTACAGTCAGTTAAAACGATTGATGAGACATTATCACCATCAGCACATCCATTTTTATTATATGTAATGTATTTGTAATCTCCAAACATTTTAGTAACTTTAATATAATTACCTTCTTTAGAACTTTCAAAACATTGATCTAATTCGTAACTAGTAAACTCAGCTCTCTCTCCTTTAGTATTTTTAACACCACAAATAAGTTTAGCATTAACAATTGAAAAATATATAAAACATATAACAATGAACATCTTCACTGTTGTAGTTGATTTAAGTTCTTTTAGTTCTTTTTGAGAAGTAGAAGGGAGTAGAATTTTAAAGAATTTTTTTCATCTTCTTTTTTCTTAATTTCTTTATTTATCTTCTCTAATTTTATGTTTTATATCCAATTATTTCTTTATTTATTAATAGTCCTAATACTTCCATTTTTTAACTGTTCTTTTCTTGAGTTCTTTTATTCATTACTTTTCATTTTTTTTACGTACTTAAACTGTCAACACCTCTTTCTTATATTTTTGAAATAGTTTTTTGTAGAATCATCTTTAATATACTCTCTATTTTTATTTAACGACCATCAACTCCTATAAGTAGATATTAAAATAAAGCATATACAATCAACATTTAATAGAACAACAAAAAGATGAATGATCAACCATGTTTTGTCTTTGTCTTCTCTTGTTCTTTTTATTTCTTCTATTTTATTTATTTTTCTCTTTTTATTTTCCTATTATATTCATTAATTCATTAAAATTAA